CTGAGCAAGGAGCCCAGTGTGGGGCTCGATCCCAGGACCCTGGGATCATGGCCTGAGCTGAAGGCAGCCGCTTAACCGACTGAGCCACCCAGGCGCCCCCGTTTTAGTCCATTCTTATGGGCCCTGGAGATACCATAGCTCGTCCCAGCCCACTGAATTTTCTCTGGTCCTTGCCTAGCGCAGATCACCTGTGGCTAAGCTAAGCAGAGCCCTGGTGCTCTTGTGGGGGTGGGGAACCAAGCCAGTTGGGAGGGATTGCTGAGGGAGCTGGTGAAGGACTGGGTGCCCATGGACAGACCCAGCCTTTCTGGGTTTTGTGAGTTTTGATTCACCTCCAGGCTAGAGAAAGTTTGTAGCATCATCTCATAATAGAATCATGGTATCTGGGTTGGAATGGTCACCTGTTTATTATAATTATTATTCTGATTTGATAATATATTACCTGGTTCATAAATCAAAACTGTACAGAAGTTATACGGTGTAAAGTTTACTCCTTTACTTGGCTCCATTCACATCGCACTTTCCCTCTACTTACCCATCTCCCCCCAGGTAACCGCTACCACTTTTGCTTCTTATGCATCCTTCCAGAATTTTTTATCCTAGTAAAAGAAATTATATTCTTTGTTTCCCCCATACACACCCTTTTTGTAATGAAAAGGTATGCAATCACACTGCCCTGCATCTTGCTTTAGGAAACTTTTCATTGTTAGTTCCTAGAAAGCATTTTCCCTCGTTTTCAGAACTGTATAATAATCTGTTGTGTGAATACACCATATTTACTTAACCTGTCCCCACTGATGGACATGAGGATAGTTTCCAGTCTCTTGCAGGTATATCTGTGGACTAGGTTCTTAGAAGAGGGGTTACCATGTCAGAGGTTATCTGCACTACTGATGGACAGTACCACATTGTCTTCCCAGGAGTGGTGCATGGTGCCAGTCAGCTGTCCCCACAGCGAGGTCTGAGAAGATCTAGTAATTTCCCGGGTCCCTTCTATCTCTGTCTACCAGTGTCTCCTCTATTCTAAGCTGGACTCCTTGGAATGGTTAAATCAGTGTGTAAGGATTTGTGGGAAGGGGCCCTAGAGGCTTCTGTTAGCACTTGTGGTCTCCAGCCCATTTAGCATTTGTTAAGCCCCGTAACTTAATAGACCTTATTGGGACATCAGAGGTTGGTGAGGGAAAGTTCCAGGGCTAGTCTTGGCCTATCAGTCCAAGCTTTTCTCCGGGAAGATGGTGCCAGGGCTTTTGGGAGAGATGTCCACAGCAAGGTTCTTGTAGTTCCCTGAGCCTTCTTGTCAGGGGGATGGGATGACAGAGTAGAGAGGGTACCATGGGCTCATCTGGCACCATAGCTCCAAAGTTCTACTGGAAGACCAAGGTGAGTGAGAGCGTTGTGCTTATTGAACCATGTCTTTCTGTTTTGTTTCTCTTTATTCACCCAAACCTTTCCAGTACAACCGATGACCAAAAATAGTGTTGATTTGTATTAACTAGTACACATTTGTCCCATATGAAATGAGCTAGATGATGTCAGGGATGTCTCACCCCTCTTCTGGTGGATCTAGGGTTGCTGTAGGTGGTACCGGGACCTAGTGGAACAGGGGTTCCTGAGCCTTCACTTAGAAGGAGGATGGGTGGGGTGCCTGGGTGGCTCAGTCGGTTAAGCGTCTGCCTTCGGCTCAGGTCATGATCCCGGGGTCCTGGGATCGAGTCCCGCATTGGGCTCTTTGCTCAGCAGGGAGCCTGTTTCTCCCTCTGCCCCTCCCCCTGCTTGTGCTCTTCCTCTCTCTCTCTCTGTCTCTGTCTCTCTGTCTCTGACAAATAAATAAATAATATCTTTTAAAAAAAAATAGAAGGAGGATGGGATGGGTTGACTTGGTGCTTAAGCCATGATGACCATCTCCTGCCACAGCCTTCTACCCTGGGGAGGGGTCATGGTGGCAGTCTGGGGCAGAAAGCGGAATAAGGTGCTGGAGTTCTGCTTGGTGCTCTGGTTCGGTCAGGAAAGGCGAGGCATGGGCCTCTGGATGGTTTCTCCTGGGAAGGAGTGCTTGACAGTCTGTGAGAGGCCCTCCCTGGGGAGCAAGGGCAGCGAGAGAATTGGACCTCATTGCTGATGGCGCTGCAACTGAGTTCTGAGTGGTGTTCACTGTACATTGTGGGGCAGGGAGAGTCTTTATACTTGCACCTCTGAGTTTTGACCAGTGTAACTGTCTGTGGTTCAGCTCAACCCAAAAGTCTTAGAGCAAGGATTCTAAAGCTTTTGGGGATCAAGTACCCCTTTTAGAAGCTAAAAATCATAGATACTTTATCCAGAAAAACACTCAGGTAAGCATGCTGGAGCACACCAATGATTTTCCTCTTAGGATAGTAGTTCTCAATTATTATTAGTGTTATTGTTATTACTATTTTCTCTACATGCTGCACGCAGTATTTTTCATTGCATATGCTGACTTTCGGAGGACTAAGGGGCAGACAGCCCTGTGGGAATGGGGAAGGACAAGGATAGTTTGAACAGTCACTGGCCAAGGAGCCCTTGGAACTGGGTTAAGAATACCTGGCACAGAGGGTTGTTTACGTTGCTTGGAAGGTAAAGATTTCTCCTTCCTCAGACATTGCCTGGCACCTTGCCTACATTTCACAGAAGGAACTTAGGGGCTATGGGGTGAGCAGGATGGTACTGGGCATGATGCTTGGGCTTCTCTCGATATTCTCTATTTGCTGTAATTGCTGAGGGATGCCTCTGCTCACCCCAGAGAACCCTAATGCCTGTATTCATAGGCTGCCTGAGAGTGTGGGGGAGGCCAGGCGGGATGGGAGCGCTACTACCCACCATTCCCAGGCTCCCCAGCCTGGCTGCATTTGCAATCTCCTGGGGAAGCTGGGAAGGCTAATGGCTCATTATGCCAGCAATTAGTCACATCACTGAGGCACATGATTCCCTCCAGGACTGGTGCCACCTCCTGCCACTCTGGCCGTGTTCAGTGCTGCTTCTCTCCCACTCTGAACGGGGAGTGCAATCCCAGGAAATGGCCACCACTTTCCTACAGGTGCTGCAACCCCAGGACCAAGTGACTGGGACTCACTCACCTGTACGTCACAGGGCCACCCAGGACCTCCAGGGACCAAGGGGACAGTCATGGAGTGGAGTATGTGGACACAAGTAGAGATTCCCCCACATGCCCCATACACACATGATATGTGGAGGTATATCTGTATACACTTGTGCACATACATGTGTGAACATGCTGTGAGGGAAAAGCTGGGCCTTGTAAAATAAAGTCCTCTGAGGCCTGAGCAGGGAAGAGCCCAGCAGGAAGCTCCTAGAAGAGGGAGGGTCCTGCCTTGTTTCCCCTCCCTTGGGATGCTCTTACCTGGTCCAGCATCCAGGTCAGTCCCCGGGATTCTTTCCAACTTCTTGACTTCAGTACCAGAGAGGGCCAGACAAAACTCTTTTTTTTAAAGGTTTTATTTATTTATTTGACAGAGACACAGCGAGAGCAGGAACACAAGCAGGGGGAGTGGGAGAGGGAGAAGCAGGCTTCCCGTGGAGCAGGGAGCCCGATGTGGGGCTCGATCCCAGGACCCTGGGATCATGACCTGAACCGAAGGCAGATGCTTAACGACTGAGCCACCCAGGTGCCCCCAGACAAAACTCCTAAGGACAGCAGTGACTGCCTGTCAGTTACTGAAAATGAGAACAAAAACCAGGTGAGAGCCTGGGAAAGTGGTTATTTCCTGAGGCCAGGCTTCATATTCTAACAACACTAGTCACAGTCAAGTTGATGGGGCCTTAGTTCCCGTCTTCCTGAGAGAGCGGCATCTCCACCCACCCCTGGGCAGCCTGTGGCCCCCCTATCCTCTTCCTGCCAGGGAGAGGTCTTGCAAAAACGCAGCCCTTGCAGGTTAACTGTGGAACAGGATCTCGCCCAAAAGGGCTGAGGACTCGGGAACCAACAAGGACGGAGTGCTTTCTGGGAGCCAGACTCGTGCATGGAGTTTACCCCGTTCGTCCCATGCAACGTTTCATGCCAGTCCTGAGAAGTAGCCCCATTTTGTAGATGAAAACAGGCTCAGAGTGTTTTCCCCCACGTTTCCCAGGGTGGTGAGTGGCCGTGCTAAGCTCCAGACCCTGTTCTGACTCCGATCTCCGGCAGAGCACTGTTGTCAATCCGTATAGAAAGAGCACCTGTGACATGAGGGGAGCGCTCCTCCTCCCACCTGCGGGCCCCCCAACACACCTGGAGGAAGTGAAAGGGACTGGGCCAGGGTTTGAGGTCCTGGGTCATGGTTCTGGCTCTGCCACTCCATGACTGTGATCAACTCCCTTCCCCTTTCTGGGCCTTTCCCTCATAATGGCCGAGCACCCCCCCGCCCATACATACTAATATTTTTAGACTCTACACATGGCTGGGGCAACTCCCCACCCTTTCCCCCCAAAGTCCTTTCCTCCCTGCAGGATCCAGATGGAGAGTATAAGCCTAACCCCTAAACACATAAATGAGTGAAGGGAAATCCTCCCAGCATGGGAAATAGAAATCTCTCTCGGCTGCAGGGCTCATCAATAATTCAGGAGCCGCTGTTGGGTCTGATCTCTGTAGTGGCCTCATCCATATTTCACCTCCTTCCCATAGCCCTGTTCCTTAGCAACCACATCATCCATGCTTTCCGGGAGGGCTGCTGGGTCGTGTGCTCCCTGCATCGCCTGTCCTGTCGGTGCTGTCCATGCTTGCCCTCGTGGGCGGGGGGAGGAGCCACTGGAACTGGCAGCTTTGGTCCTCACAGTGCCGGGGCAGTGCTGCACACAGGAGGCATGTGCCCACCAGGCGAGGGATGGTATGGCATGTCAGCCCCTGCAGGTCCTCCCTGGCCTGCCTCTGACTGAAACCTCTCCCCCTCCTCCCAACCTCTCCCTCCTCCTCCCACTCCTGGAAGAGGAGTGTTTCTCCCTTTCCCCCTTGTGCCCAGGCTCAGGTGCTGGTTTTCTTTGTGGCTCAGGTGCAGTGGAGGCTTGCCTCCTACATCAGCTGAGACGCCGTGCTGCGGGCTTCCTGCGCAGTGACAAGATGGCGGCCCTGTTCACCAAGGTGGGAAAGACATGCCCAGTGGCTGGGGAGATTTGCCACAAGGTACAGGAGCTGCAGCAACAAGTAGAGGGCAGGTGAGTCCTGGGCCAGCTCCTGCCATCACTCCCTTCTGCTCTTTGCACTTGTCATTTGCTCCCTCCCAGGTTGGCTTCCTGGGCTCATTTCTTGCAGGGTCCCTTGGGTGAGAGACCAGCCTAAGGGTGGGGGGTTGGCTCCTTTTGGACACAAGGCCCCACTTCAACCCCTCATCTTAGTCAGTCCTCTGGGTTCTTGTGGCACCAAACTCTGCTCCTAACACCACCTATCTGGGGCTTACTCCCAGGCCCTCCACTCCTGAAGCCCACCCTCTCTTTGCAGGAAACCCTTAGCAGGCAACCAGGATGCCCTGCGGAGACAGGGCTCTGCCAGCGGGAAGGGCCCAGCTCTCAGCCTACAGGCCTTAAAGCACATATGGGTGCGCACAGCGCTCATCGAGAAAGTGTTGGACAGGGTCATGCAGTACCTGGTGGAGAACTGCAGGTGACTGCCCCATCCCCCAAGCAGCCCCTCCCTGGGGCTCACCTCCTGAGCAGTCCTTCAGCCCTCCCCCTCAGCATGCGTGATTGTCCCCAACAGTGTATAGGCATGCCCGTCTTCCCCTCTAGCACCCGGAAAGCATAGACCACACAGGGCACCCTCCAAAGCTCAGTCCTTGTGGACTCATTTCTTCTTAGTGACTCACACGAAAGGGTCTTTGTGGGGATGTCCGTACTTGGTGGGCTTGATTGCCCTGGAATGAGTCTGTCTCTCCCCCTGGCAGCAAGTACTACGAGAAGGAGGCTTTACTGGCAGATCCTGTGTTTGGCCCCATCTTGGCCTCTCTTCTAGGTGAGCTGAGAGCAGAGAGGCCCGTGCTGGGCCAGTGGGGGCTGAGGGGCAGGTGCTGAGGGGGCACCATCTGTGCTAACTGTCCCTGTCTTCACAGTGGGACCCTGTGCCTTGGAGTACACCAAGCTCAAGACAGCTGATCACTACTGGACTGACCCCTCTGCTGATGAGCTGGTCCAGAGGCACCGTATCCGGGGTCCCCCCAGTCGCCAGGACTCCCCTGCAAAGCGCCCAGCCCTAGGAGTAGGTATCCCTCTCCCCACCCCTTATACTTATCCAGGCTATGCCCATGGGCCTGTAGGGAAGGGCAGCTTGGCCTCCATGTTCCTTGCAGACACAGGCTGGACCTTAGAGATGCACCAAGGTCGTGGCTACCTCAGGAGAGCCATTTATCCCTGCTGGCACTTATATAAATGCCAGGAGCCCATCACTGGTCCATGGCTGGAGAGCAGAGGGCGGCCGAGAGCAGACCCCGGACAGAATGGACCCCTGGGTCAGGTAGAGAGGCTCTGCGTGGAGGCCTCAGGTTGTCTGAGGCGGATTTCACAGGGCTGGGCCCTGAGCTGTGCCTTTCTGCCCAGATTCGGAAGCGGCATTCAAGTGGCAGTGCGTCAGAAGACAGGCTGGCTGCCTGCGCCCGCGAGTATGTGGAGTCCCTGCACCAGAATTCCAGGACACGCCTGCTCTATGGCAAGAACAACGTGCTGGTGCAGCCGGTAAGCGAACTTATTGCCCACCCCCTCTCCCTCTTCTGAAAGGCCCAGGACTGGAACTTTCCCCTGACTGGAAAGTCCCCTTCCTCAGAGGCTTGACTAGAGAGAAGGGGGGAGAAGGGCCCTACCCCTCACTTCACAGTTTCACATGCCTCGTGCCCAGCCTTGAGTTGGCAGGAGCCAACTCAGTTAGTTAGCATCTGCCCTGCTTGCTGAGAACCAGGCTGTCCAAAGGTGGGAATGGCAAGCGGCAGGCAGGGTGAACACCTGGCTTGGGTACGGCTGGCCCAGGAAATACCTGGCGTCCGGGAGGCTGACAGGACAGGGCCAGTAGCACGAGGCCAGCCGGGGAGAGGAGATGCCCACATCTGTGTGTGGCTCATGTTCTCCCGTCCTTCCTCCTGGCCTCCACTCCAGGATCCTGTGACTACTAGCTCAGGCTCCCCAGCTCCCGCTGGGAGCTTATGTCTCATAGGCCTCTCCTGGGAGCCTCAGCACCTTGTCACCTCTGCCTTCTGCTGTGTCTCCTCCCCATAGAAGGAGGACATGGAGGCCGTCCCTGGCTACCTCTCCCTGCACCAGTCTGCAGAGAGCCTAACTCTGAAGTGGACCCCCAACCAGCTCATGAACGGGACTCTGGGGGACTCCGAGTTGGAGAAAAGGTGGGGGCTCTGGGACTCCAGGCAGGGGGGTGGACAGACGCCGCTTGCTCCAGGAGGCAGGACTCACTCCTTATCCCGATGCCAAGAATTGCAGGAATAGGCTGCCTGGAGAGATTCCCAAGCTCTCTAAGATCAAGCCAGGCTGGGCATGAAGAGGTTTGCCTGAGCCAAGCTTTAGGCAGCTGAGACTGCCAGGCTCTGTGCCATGACAGCAGGGGCCCAGACGGACATGGCTGGCTGAGGTCACTTCTCGGCACGGTCCTCCTGTCTTCAGGGTCGTTTTACAGGTTTTGGTGGTGGGAAATGAAGAAAGCGGGATGACAGGCCTTGCAACACAGTGACATCGATCTGGTTCCTTTCCAGCGTTTACTGGGACTATGCCCTGGTTGTTCCCCTCAGTCAGATCGTCTGCATCCACTGCCACCAGCAAAGTGAGCCTCCCTTGTCCTGGGCACAGGGTTGAGGAGAGAGAGAGACTGCCCTCTCCCGGCCACATACCGTGCACGGCCCATTGGATGTCTTGTCCTCCTCCTGTCGTGCCCATGCACCCAGTTGGGAGGCCTGGCTGACTGGGCTGTGGTGATGACCAAGGGGTCTCAGGGAGGCCTAGCCTCACTCACCCGTGTACACCCCACAGAGAGCGGCGGCACGCTCGTGCTGGTGAGCCAGGATGGCATCCAGAGGCCACCGCTGCACTTCCCACAGGGAGGACACCTGCTGTCCTTTCTGTCCTGCCTGGAGAATGGGCTGCTGCCCCGAGGCCAGCTAGAGCCCCCACTCTGGACCCAGCAGGGGAAGGTACCTCAGGGCTTGGGAAACTCTGAGTAAAGGGATGTGTGAGGGGGGTTCTCTGCTCACGTCCTTCCTTTCCCCACATGGAGTTCTTAGTGGCTGCCTTGGGTGGGACCTTGGATCAGACACTGCCCTGAACAGGCCGACCACCCACCCTTCCCTCCATAGGGGAAAGTGTTCCCCAAGCTACGGAAACGCAGCAGCATACGGACCGTGGATGTGGAGGAGATGGGCACCGGGTGGGCCACAGACTACGTGTTCCGGATCATTTACCCCGGCCACAGGCACGAGCACAGTGAGTGTCTCAAGCTTCATCCATGGAGGAAGCGAGAAAGATGCTCAAGGAGGCAGGGGAGTGCAGTGTTAACCCAGGAGGCGTGGCAGGCAGGGTCCACTCACTGACCAGGCCAGGTGGAGAGGAGCGGTTCATTACTCAGCCTCTCACCAGACCTTCCCCTGCAGATCATCCCTCTGAGAAGCTGCTGCCTCTCTTCTACCTACCTGTCTTCCCCCACCTCGTCACCCCAAGATTCTTGGCTCAGCCAATATCGTACAGTATTCTCTTAGCCTTTCCAGCCCTGGCCCAAGAAAAAAAAAATGTGGTGAGACTAGATAAAGAGAAGTTGGAGAACTCCATTCCTCCCTGGCCCACGGCCTGACCTCCACAAGGCAGCCTGGGTGCAGGGTCAGTGCTTCTTTTTGCATGGTGCAAATTGTTCACTGACTCCCCTAGAGCCAGAGCCCTCCTCGGACCAGCTACTGGTCAGAGGAGCTTTAGCTGGAGTAGGGGGGCACCTGAAGAAGGTGAAACTTGGAGCTGGCCGGGAGACCTTGGGGACTGGGGGGTGCTGAGAGATGGCTTGGCTCTCATGGGTCCTGCCGCACCTGAATGCACACCTTTGGGTCCATGGGGCCTGTGGGTAGGTATCCGCCAACACCGGATTTCCCTTTCTGGTGTGAGTGCCATTGCCCCTTATAGGTTTCTCAGGGCCAGAGTCCCCGGTCTTGGGGGTGAGGTCCGGGGATTTACCAGCACAGAGCATTTATTGCCAACTGAACCACCTGCTCCCTAAATTTCCTAACTGGTGCCAGAAGTTGTCAGGGAGTTGTCTCTGTCCTAGCAGACGGACAACCGAGACGGCAAGCACACAGCCATAGCCCAGATGGCCCCAGCAGGACTGATGGGCCCAAGCCGCGGCGCTCCCGCTCCCAGAGGTGCCTAACTAGGAGCCGTGCCTTGTGTCAGAATGTGTTTGCAAAGCTGGCATTTAATCCTGGGCTGCTGTGCGGCTGAGATGACTCAGTCTCCACGTCCCCTCTTTAAGCCTTGGCATCTCCCAGTTCTGGTCACTTTGCTTCAAGGACTGCACCCCCAGAGGGCGAGCCGGGGCCCTGGGAGGTGGAATCTGGCGGAGTGACTGAGGCTCTGCTCAAGTGCAGCGCTGGGCAGACCTTGAGGAGGTTGGGGTTCACGTCTGAGGAGGGGGATTTGGGGTAACCTGCAGATTTGCTTCAGCCTGACTCTGATGTGAGCTGAAGAACGATCGGGATCCGTCTGCCAATAGTCGTGCCCTGCTTTGGCCAGGGCTAGGGAGCTCCTGAGCCGCCTGCCTGTCCCCACTGGTCCCTGTCTTTCACTCCCCTTACTCCCCCCGTCAGCTCTCCATCTGCTGCTCTTCCTGGACAGGGCCTCCTCCAGGGGAGCTCTGGAGCTGCCGTCTTCCCCTCACTCTCTTCCACACTCTCCCCCGTAAGTCATCCAGACAGCTCTCGGTCCCCCAAGCCCGTTCTCAGTGCCCAGCAGGTTTGAGGCGACCCAGACCCTGGTCCCCTCCTTGTAAGGAGGGAGTCTGGTGCCTCCTGCCAGGACCAGGTCCTCATGCCTCTGCCTCTCTCGCTGTTCTCTTTGAGCAGTCACTATTAACTACCACCACCTAGCGGCCAGCCGCGCGGCCTCGGTGGACGATGATGAGGAAGAGGAGGATAAACTGCACGCGATGCTCTCAATGATCTGCTCGCGGAACCTCACAGCTCCCAATCCGATGAAAGGTTTTTATCCCTGCCCCGCCCCTGCCCTGCCCCATCCCCTGGCCCACCTGCCACCCACCGCAGGGGCTCGGACGGCAGTGTTGGCATTATGGGACTGGGGTGGTCCCCCATCAGGAGGCAGGTCAGGGAGGGCGGAAAGAGGCGCTGGCAAGAAGAGGGGATGGTACAAAGAGCAGGGGGCTCGGGGCTCCCCAGTGAGTCTGGAAGGGAGAGGGCTTCATGCCTGAGAGTGAGGATCCTCTGGTAGGAAGATGTGACTATCTGGTCGCCTCTGGGGAACCTCGAGTGTCTTTCCAAGCACTACACCCACTCCTGGGGGCCGTGCTGGCCAAGCTGCGGCATTGTCTCTTTCTTTCTCCCCTGCTGGCTGGGAAGACTGGCCTCCCGGCCCTGGACCTCTGACTTCTGACTTAACAGAAACAGGATAGAGGTTCAGGCCCCTCCCGGGCAGGGATGGGGGCTGGACAGCTCACACGAATGAGTCCTGTGGCTCAGGTGAGGTGTTGGAGCCACCATGGAAAGAGACCCAGGGCTGGGTTTACTCAGCAGGGCTGACGGCTCTAGCAGATACTGCCTGGAGCATGAAATCTAGAAATAAATGTGCCGGAGGTCTAAAACAGGTGTTTCCCACCCTCGCAGACCTCAGAGTCCATGATTACAGAGGAGGTCCCTTCATTGTAAATGACCCGGCACAGTGCCGAGTTCCTCCACATTGGTCCCTCTGTCCACCACCCATCCTTCTTAGCACAGAGATAGGTTGGTAGAGGAGGAGAACCCTACTCTTTATAGAGAGCAATCGGCCAGGGGACCTGAGAAGTCTAGGCCAGATGCTCAAGGGAAAATTGGTTATGAAGGGGCTGGAGCCAGCTTTCTTGGAGCTTAAGGGAACTTCCCTGTCCTCACCCATTCCCATGCCACAGAATTAATTTCTTCTCCCCTTTTCCTGCCCCTACAGAGGGTATCTAAGAATATGTGACACTCCCCTTACGCTTCCACAAACTTCTGCCAAACAGCCCAGTTCCTTAGCCCAGCCACCAAATCAGCAATGAGGTCCCCTGTCCCGCCCACTCCCTGGGAAACTAAGTCTGTGGCCTAGCACACATCTAGCACACCCTCAGCACAGCCCTAGCAGCTGCCCCCACCTACCACATGCCTGCCCTTGTGCCTTGCCTCCCTCGTAGCCCTCCTGGCAGGACCCACAGGCCCCCTTGGGCGGGAGTCCAGGGGAGCCTCACTTCTGAATTTGTCTGCACACAGCCTGCCGTCTGACTCCTTGCAAACCTGGGCTCGGGACTGATGCTTATTTACAGGTTAAGGGACTTGGAGCAGTGTAGGAAGGCTGAGTCAGGAAGGACAGGGATCCCTTTCTTACTGCATGAACTGATATCAGGCTGGAGGCTGGGGGTCCCAACAGAGCCCCTGTCTTGGCAGACTTGGCACTAGGAAGCCCAACCCCCGACTAGTCTTAGGGCCGAGGCCTCCAGGGTCAGAGAAGCCCCCGTGCCCATGGAGTCCAGAGGCCTTGGGGCTTATCTGGGCTTCCACTCGGGGAACTCGGGAACCTGACCAACCCAATATACAGCCCCTGGGCCCCCAGTACTTGGGGAAAGGAGAGGAGACCTGAGAGGAGAATTGGCAGGTGGTTGGGGATTTGATGTGGGAGCCCCCACCTCCACCCCAGTCCATAATGACAACACTGTTGAGTCCGTTCTACTAGCCGTTGCTTTTCAGGCCTGCCACATGCTTGACTTGTGCATGTGAATCAAGTGGCGGGTGTCCAGACTCTCCTCTCCCTCCCCCCACCTCTCCTCCTTTTCCTGCTACCTCCCCACAGAACAGAGATGCTGTTCACTCTAATTCTGCTCCAGGCCAGGCACCTTTCACTCGGAGTCTTAGGGGCTGTGGGGTTCAACCACCCTGATCATTTTTGCTTCAAACTTTCCTCATGCTCAGAGGAGAGAGTCAGAGTCAAAGCTGGCCCAGCAGATCCCCCCACTCCCCCCATGTCCAGCCTGCTGCCCCTCACCCAGTCACTCCAGAGCTCCAGCTGTCTGCACTGGGTTAATTCAGAGATGCAGTGTTCAATGCTGGCTGGCTCAGCTCCTTCCTGGAGAATTAAGGTGAAGAGCATTGACCCAGGAGTCTTGCCTCAGTTGGGCCCTACTTTCTGGGCGTGAGCTTGTTTCCCTATGTGCCCACCGTTCATCCTCTGCACCTGTCGTACCCCCTCCCCCCCCACCC